CCCACCCCTATCCCCCTCCCCTCCTCTCTCTCGCTCCCCTCCGGGGAAAATGGTGTCCAAGCTCAGCTCCCTGCAGCAGGAACTTCTCAGCGCTCTGCTCAGCTCCGGCGTGACCAAGGAGACTTTGCTCCAAGCCCTGGACGACATGGGGCCCGCCACCAGCTTCGGGGTCAAGCTGGAGAGCCTGCCCCTGTCCCCGGGCAGCGGGGCGGAGGCGGAGGGCAAGCCCGTCTTCCACACCCTCACCAACGGCCACAGCAAGGGCAAGCTGTCCGGGGACGAGGGCTCCGAGGACGGGGACGATTTTGACACCCCGCAGATCCTGCGGGAGCTGCAGGCGCTCAACACGGAGGAGGCGGTGGAGCAGAGAGCCGAGGTGGATCGGATGATCAGGTAACCGCCGGGGGCCCCCGCCCCACCCCCCGCAGGCCCGGGGGGGCCCCCAGGTGGGTCCTGGCTCGCCCCGCAGCGGAGCGCCCTTGCATCCCCCCTCCCCCATTATTAGTCCCAGGCCCTGGGAATCTGCCCTGTCCCCCCGCCCCAGCAGGTGATTAGGAATCGGTGTCTGGCCGCGCTCCTTGAACCCAGGCCCGGGCCCAGAGCGGCACGTGTAAACGAGCAATTCGGATTGAGGGGTTATGATGAAGTCCTGCTCTTGTGTCCCGGCTGCGCCTCCCTCTTGCATCCCCCCTCCCCCATTATTAGTCCCAGGCCCTGGGAATCTGCCCTGTCCCCCCGCCCCAGCAGGTGATTAGGAATCGGTGTCTGGCCGCGCTCCTTGAACCCAGGCCCGGGCCCAGAGCGGCACGTGTAAACGAGCAATTCGGATTGAGGGGTTATGATGAAGTCCTGCTCTTGTGTCCCGGCTGCGCCTCCCTCGAAACTTTCTGCTTTGTTTTTCCCAGAAGGAAAATAGCCCAGAACAAAGACTTGGCGCTCTTTGAGATTTGGACTCTTTTAAAAGTAGATTTTTAAACAGTGTAAACAACTCCCAGCCGGGAAAGGGCCGCTGTCTCCTGCGGCCGCTGCGCGGGGCAGAGCTGACGGCGGGTTGAAAATCAAAACCCAGCTCTGCGCACTTTCGAGCGAAACGGGGGCTGTGGCTAATCCGGAGTAACAAGTGGGCTCTTAAGGGTCTAAACGCTTCGCGGTGTGAGTTGATTCCGTGCCCGCTAGCCAGACACACTCCTGCCCGAGCTCTGTTGCCCTGACAAGGGGCTAGTTACTAATTCTCCGCGGCCTTCCTTATTTCTCCTCTTTAGCAAAATACCAACTAACCCCGCCTGGCCACTTCTGAACCCCTAGCCCGGGCATTTAAAAAGTCTGTAGCCGAAAGCGGCTGGTTCTCAGTTGGGAAGTTAGCCGAGAAAATGCTTTTCCAGGCCGATGGTAACTTTGACTCCGGTTTGATTCCTGATTCACGCCCCTTGGCTCTCGCAAATATCAGCTCAAAGAGCCAGAGTGAACTGCAAGGAACAGCTCGCTTGGCGCTGGCGAGAGGGATTTTAGTGGGTGTTTTGGGTCTGGACCGTTGTCAATGAGGCGAAGTGGGCACCCGCCAGGGGAAGGTTTCCACGGTCCTGCGGCAGCCGCAGCGTCTGGCGGAGCCGCAGCAATTCGAATTCTCTCTCCGTATCGCGATTAGAATCAATTCTCTCTCCGACGCGATTCGAATTTCTCTCTCCGCGCCGTGATTCGAATTCTCTCTGTGTACCGCGATTCGGATCAATTCTCTCTCTCTCCCGCGATTCGGATCATGTTTCTTTCCGCCGTGCGGGAAGAGTTGAACGGGGGGAGGATTAAACCCGCTTTGGCTCAAAGCCAGCGGAGGTCTGGCCCAAGCGTTACCAGCACCCTAGGGCCCAGTCTCCATGCCCGGGACGCGCCACAGCCGGCAGCACGTGGAGGGGGAGGTATTAATTTATTTCTATAAATCATCAACCCAAAGATGCGCTGGGGCTGCGAAGAGAGGCGGGTTATTCATTGGCGAAGCTGCAAACCAGCGAGGGGGGGGGGGCAGAGGAAACCCCCAGGCGCTGGCGGATTTTTTCCTCTTTCGTTTTGGCCTTCACTTCAATCAATACACGGGAGTTGGGGGCTCGGGCGGGGCTGCCAAGGAAGGTGGGAGAGGGTCTGGTACCAGCTGGGTGACAGCTGGGGCAGGAACTGCCCCTTGACTATGGGGATGGAGGCAGTTTGAGCAGTGTCCCCTCAAAGCCATGGGGCAGGCTGCCTGGGGTGGGGGGCTTCCCCCCAGACAATAGTCCCCTCTCAGCTGGGTAGCCTTGGCACAAGCCAGAGGGCTGTCGGGGTGGGCGAGCGCTGGTCCCCTGGTGCCCCTGCCCCCTGCCCCGCCTCTGAAGGGTGGTGGTGGGAGGGCACAGGTGTGAAATGCAGGGAGGCCCAAGTGGGGTACCCAGGCCTACTGCCTGTGCCTTTATTTACCCCAATGTCAATGTTCGGGCTCCTCCAGGAGCAGCCAGTATCACCTTACCCATGCAGCATCAGACAGGGACTGGCCTCCCACCAACAGCAACTATCCAGAGTGTGTCTGCCCCGCCTTGTTGTGCATTTCCGGGTGGTAGTTTGCAGGGGGCCCAGTCCCTTTATTGTGCCCGTGTGTCATCTGCAGACTCTGCACCTCCGAGGGGGCAAACGGCTGATGGGGGAGAAGGCTGATTAGTTTAGTCCCCTCCCTTAAAACTTCCTCAGCACAGACACTGGGTTGGAGTCAGGGCAGAACATTTCCCTGTCCTGTTCCCAGTGGTTTCCACCTAGATATACACTACCCACCTCCACTTGCCTTGGTGAGTTCTTCCTCGTTTTCTCTCTGCGCTCTAGATGCAGAGGCCAGATGCATTACTGTCCACCCCCCACTCCTCTCAGCTGCTCATCATGCCTGTCTCTTAGCCTGCCTCCTCTTCCAAAGTAGAGGAAGGTCTGCATTCCAACACCCCCGTTTGTGACACCTGTGTAACCCCATTACAGGTGGATAAAAACTCTGGGCTGTATTTTGCTCTTTCAGTTCAAAGTCTGCCTCTGGTGCAAAGGAGATCAGATCCCTGAGGAGGCTTTTGCAAAAAGGGCTTCCTGTTTGCCCTAAGTGGGGCCTTTGTTGTCATGGTCATGTAGGTACCAGTGACCTAGGAAAATGCAGGAGAAAGCCTCCATTTGGTCGCCAAGACCTAGGGAAGAGTTTAAAATCCAGGACCTCCATAGTAGCATGCTCTGAAATATGCAGGCAGAATTTGCAGGGTCTTGACATGTGGATGAGAGGATGGTGCGTTGAGAGAAGAGACTGAAATTTATTAGGAACTGAGGAATCTGTTAGAAAAGGAGTCTATCCAGGGAGGATGGATTCCACCTAAATCAAAACAGAACTAGATGGCTGGCATATAAAATCAGAGTTTCTAAACCAAGGGCTGGGGGAAAGCCCACGGGTGTAGAGAAGCACATTGTTCTACTGGAGCCCTTAGCTAAGGACTTACTAAAGGAGAGGTTTTATAGCCCAGAAAAGAGGAGAGGACTGAACATGATAAACTGCAGGTTGGAACTGAAGAGAAACTGCCATACAAAGAGTCCCATTCAATTACATCACATGGAGGCAGACAACTAAATATTGACACGTTTGTAAGTGTTTGCATATGCATGGAAGCTGGGGGAAGATGAGGTGATTGGTATAATTGGTATCACAGAAACTTGGTTGAATGATGCTAATTGCTGGGACGGGTAATACGAGAGGACAAAATTACCAAGGAAGGGATGCAGAAAGAAAATGTCTATTTCTAGACACCATAGATGACTTCTCCTTGAAGCAGCCAGTGCAGGAACCCAAGAGGGGAGAGGCAATTCTTGATTTATAGTCCTGAGTGATGCACAGAGTTCTGGTCCAAGAAGTGAATATAGCAGAGCCGCTCTGTAACGGGTCATAATGTAATTGAATGTAACCGTTGGCAGTAAGAAAGCCAACAAACAGAATGTGAGGAGCCATTAGGAAAGGGATACATAACACAACAGTAAATATCACGCTGCCAGTGAACAAATCTGTGGTACCTCACACCTTGGATACTGCTTGCAGGTCTGGTCGCCTCATCTTAAACAAAGCTATGTCAGAAATGGGGAAAGTACAGGGAAGGGCCACAAAGAGGTGTATGAGCACGGAACAACGTCCATGTCAGGAGACATTAAAAGACTGAGGCTGGTCCGTTTGGGAAAGAGACTCCGAAAGGCAGGGGCCGGGGACATAATGGAGGTATCTGCAGTCCTGAGCAATGTGGAGGACATGAATAAGGAAGCATGGCTTGCCCCTTCCCATCCCACAGGAACCAGGCCTCACCCAATGAATTTGATAGGCAGGCGGTTTAAAACAAACAAAAGGCAGTGTTTCTTCACACGCACAATCCACCTGTGGAATACAGGCCCAGGGCTGTTATGAAGAGTAATTGTAAGTGAGTTCAAAACGGAATTTAAGTACACTGAGGACAGGTCCATCAATGGCCAGGAATGCAGCCCCATGCTCTGGGTGTCCCTAATCCTCTGATCACCAAAACCTGGGACTGGAAGACGGGATGGATCCCTTGATAAACTGCTCTAATCTATCCAGGGCCTTGGAAGCATCTGGCCCCAGCTGTGCTTGGAAGCCAGAATACTAGGCTAGATGGACTGACTCTGACTCAGAGTGGCCTTGCATATATACTTGGAGAAGGAGCTGGGACATAAGAACAGGAAACCATTTCAATTACTCTGTAGTACTCAGTCCGTCCCTGCTGTTGTTCGTCTGACCTGGGATTTCGCCTAAGGTGCTGTATAGTCACCCTGCCGCCTCTGGTCAGAAAAGAATCGTTTCTGGCATAATCCCCTCATGCTGTCTTCTGTGTGGCCCCTTTTGAAGAGAGGGGAGACGGAGAGAATTGGATTTGTTGAGTTTGGAAAAGAGAAGACTGAGGGGGGACATGATAGCATCTTTCAAGGACCTAAAAGGGTGTTACAAGAAGGAGGGAGAAGAATTGTTGTCCTATTCTCAGAGGCCAAGGAGAAGAAGCAGTGGGTTTAAATTGCAGCAGTGGAGGTTTAGGTTGGACATGACGAAAAACTTCCTCTAAGTGTCAGGGCGGTTGCACACTGGAATAAATTGCCTAGGAAGGTTGTGGAATTGCCATCACTGGAGATATTTAAGAGCAGGTTGGATAGATGCCTATCTGCTGCCGTGTCGGCAGGGGACTGACCTCTTGAGGTCCCTTCCAGTTCTAGTTGTTCTGTGATTCTATGAATAGTGCAGCCACATCTGCTAGGCTCCTACACTGTCCACATTTTAAATCCTCCTAAAGACCCTCTTCTTCCAGGCAGCTTACAGTGACTGTGGCTTAGCTAGCTATAAATTGCCTTTTGCTGTT